GAAAGACTTTATAGTCTCTGTTCTGAGGTTCAACAATGAATTACTTCACATTAAAAGCAGCTACAGAGGTTGGGATGTTTTAATTTAAAGCCCTTTTACTCCCTGTTAAGAAAATGTAAATAGTTTAATGTCCTTAGTCTTGGTACAAGTACACTTTACAGTGATTGTAAACCCATAATTTTTTTTTCTAAAAACATACATATATCTTGTTTCCCCTAAAATAAGACCTACCCCGAAAATAAGACCTAGTGCTATTTTTGGGAATTGCTAAAGCATAAGACCTACCCTGAAAATAAGACCTAGTTGTGATCAGGGCTTTTTTTCAGCCGGAATGCCATTCCGCCACCTCAGGCACTGGCCATATCTACTGTCTCTTATAAACACAGAAGCGCGGCTGAAGTGCCAGCACCATGCGCTCCCACAGAACCTCCTACCTCTGTACTCACCGTGGGACAGGGAAGGAACAGATATCTGCGGGTGCAGTGTGTTTAGGGGCGGGGCATCTCCTCCTGCAGCCTAATGCATGGAAGCCGATGCCCCAGGTGTGATCACCGGCCAGTGGGGGAAGAGGCGGAGTGGTAAGTACGCTTGGCGCACTGTGTGGGAAGACAGAACCCGAAAACGGGAGTTACTATAGAGAGGGGCCGGCTACTGACAGCTGTGTTTTGCAAAGCTAGCTAACCATATGAGGGCAGTGGAGGGGGAGGGATGAGCAAAGGTGAGCTGCAGTCAGGTGTTGCAGAGGTAAATGGAATTAGGCGAGTTGCAGACAGGGTGCATAGTTGAGCTGCGGCTGGGGGGGTGCAGAGGTGAGCTGAGTTGCAACCCACCTTTGCACCCCCCCGCCACAGCTCAGCTCTGCACCCCCTGGCCACAGCTCACCTCTGCATTCCCCATCTGCAACTCTCTCCTGCACCCTGTCTTTGGCTCATATCTGCACCCTGTCTGAAACTCACCTGTCAAGTCACCCCTGCAACACCTGACTGCAGCTCACAACTGTCATCAACCGTCCCTCTATAGTAACCCTCATCCACAACTGCCTGCAGCTCACCTCTGCACCCCCTGTCCACACCTGGACATTTAAAAAATAAGACCTACCCCAAAAATAAGCCTAGTGTGTTTTTTTTTTTTAGCTAAAAAAAATATACAAGACAGTGTCTTATTTTCGAGGAAACACGGTAGTTACCTGTTCTTTGCAATGGTTTTGCAAAGAGCAGGCCTGATCCGCCTCTTTTCTGGTCCCCTGCCGAGCACCTATCATAGCAAGTCGCATGCTATGGGAGAGTGCATGCAGGCTCGTTCCCTAGCCATCTCTGTATGTCCATAGACACAGAGCGTGGCTCAGATCTGCCCCATCTCCATCCTCACTGGCTGTGATTGATAGCAGTGGGAGCCAATGTCTCCCACTACTGTCTCTGAGCCTATGTGGAGGGAGAGAGCTGGGAAAAACGTTGCTCTGCACAGTGCCGGATCCATTTTGGGCTCAGGTAAATATAAGGGGGTTGGGGGGAGCTGCACTTTGCAGAGAATGTATTAAAGTAAAAAAGCTTCAGGATTTAGAACCACTTTAAGTGACCACAGAGGATCTTATTAGTTACATTGTTTTTGAGCAGTTGCCATTCTCAGCATCTTCCAGAAGCTTGCTAGGAAACTGGGGAAAGTCTCCTCTGCTATAAAACCAACTTATGGCAATATTAAATTGAACTAATGCTTTTATAGTCATCTGTAGATGTGATCTATCACATCAGCCTAATTAAGCAATAACTAGATAATGTAAGAACCCAAAATAGTCTATTCAATTTATATACAAACTATCTAAAGCTTCAACTTGATTTGTAGGTTTTTGAGTGGGAAAGGGTTAAACACAAGTTTTTTCCCTGTTATCGGTGTCTCACTGGTAAGATTTTCTCTCATTTCCTTTTCTTTAGACTCAAGGATGAGAGACAAAATCTCTTCAAATCTCTGTTCATATACGTATCTGTCCCTGAGTCATGTATGCCTACTGGAAGATTTCCCAAATTTTGGGACTTTTAACTTTTTTTTTTTTTTTTTTAACTATGTGGCAACAGATAGGTTAAATCTCCCCAGCAGGTACTTTGACGATGTATAACCACTTCTGGACCGCCCTATAGCAGAAGTACTGCTACAGGGCGGCATGGGTGCACAAAATCACGTGTATATATACACGTGATTTTGCATTTCTGGGTAAGGGGCACGCCGCCATGCGTGGCTGTCCATAAGCGGGTTCGGGCCAGTGATTACTTGCTGGCGCCTGGTGATTACGGAGGATCTCCAACGGGGAGGAGAACCGGTTTACTAACAGTTCTCCTCCCTGTCAGCTCGGACACACTGCTTTGGATGGCTGTGCACATCCAAAATCCCTATGTGATGAAAAAAAAGTGAAAACATTTTCTTTTTTTTTTTTTTTTTTTTTTTTTTTTTTAAATTGTAAAAAATTAAAGTAACACCCAAGCACATACCATCCCCCCAAAAAAATATTGAGGCACCCACATATATGCTCGTACAAACGTAAAAGCACATGCAGGGGCGCCTTTGCATGAAACCGTCGATTGCGATACATGTTCTATATCACCGCGCACACCAGGATGAGAGCAATAACTCTAGCACCAGAACTCCTCCGTAACACTAAACTGGTGACCTATGAGTTTTAAGTGTCGACCTATAGAAAATATAGGGTACTGAAGTACGTCGCCATTTCACAAGCGTGCAAAAAAATGCAACGGTAAAAATATTACACGTTTAAGTCGCCATAAAGCCTCTTTTGTAGATTGTCATGAGGAACAAGTAGATTGGGGCCCCGATTTAGTCCCTGGACAAGTAGTTTTTTTTCAAAAATTTCCACACCTCTGCTGTAAATCCAAAATGAACATATGAGGAAAATGCAAAAGCTGAAGTTTGCGTCAGTAAAACATGTTATCAAAAATATATCAATAGATCCAAAGATACAGACAGCTGAAATTGCTTACAAAATCACCACTTTTTACACCTTAGATTCTCCTTACACTGCAAAGAAAAAATAATTTATAAAGCTGTAGCCATAGTTTGCACCGAAGATCCATGCAAGGCTAATCTTAGAAATCCTTCTAGTTTAAATTGATAGATTCAGAACTCACCCATGTGTAGACAGGGCATGCACTCCATTATGACCCTGCATGAATGTGAAATAACTTACCCATGTAGCAGGGGAAAACGTACTTCTTCTGGTGTGGCAATCCTCCTACGACCAGGTGTTCCTAGAGAATAAAGAAACGTAAATCCATTGTTTTGGAATTACCCCATTACAAAGCTCATTTTCGCATGTCTAAACACTGGAGGATAATAATTCTCATAAAACCAGGATTTCATATCACCCACTTGCTAATAAAGTATCACATTTTCAATATTTAAACTGTACATTTAAAGTTATTTACGCATGCACATAGGGGAATAAAGATTAATATTTCCTATCTTGAAATAATACCCTTAAAAGGGAACCTGTCAGGAAAGGAACATGAAAGCTGCCATTGCCAACTTGCATATTATTCTGCAGATTTCAGAACAATCACCCTCATTCTTTCTACTGCTAAGGGAGTAAATTTTTCAGAACAAGCGTGTGTATAGAAGATATCCCAGTACCTAAGATGCACATACCTAATTCAGGTCAGTAACTCACAAGTTTTTGAAGGAGAATGTAACTTTAAAAACCAATCAACAGTGGCACCTTCCATTATATCAATTTTAATATTGTCGCACATAAGAATGTATAAGAATTATTATTTTGCATTCTGCCTAGTACAGAACTGTTAAAATTTAGCTAGGACGCAAGTTACAAATACTTGCAACCAGGCAGCCTGACATCAATCACAATTTCCTGTACAGATACAGTCATAGTGAAGAGGTAATTAGAGAATCATATCTTCTTGAAGAACTTAATTCTCTAAACAGGGGGCATTGATACTGCTATGAGGGCTGCATCTCCAATGACTTTTTCATGGCTATCTTAGATTTTACCTTTCACTTCTCCAGGCTCCAGTTCTTCTTCTGCAGGCTCTTCTACACTGTGCTCGGGGGTTGCAATTTTTGTATACATTTCAACAGATGAAACACTTTCCAGCGTTAAGTCAGGTTTTTCATCATTGTTTATTTTTGGGTTCTCCATTTCCAACAAATCTATAAAAACATGACATTTATTAACATTAGTTACGTTACCAAAAACATTTCAAATTTAAAATGTTATTTGGCACAAATAATTCAGGTACAATTGTATTACAATATTGGGCCTGGTACACACGGATGCAGCAGGAACCAGATGAATTTCGATCTGCATGTGGCCCTTCCTGTTCAACAAAAGCAGACTGTTAAACTGGCTTCTGGCAAACAGTCCTGCTGGAGAACCTACATTCGATCAGCCAATTTTGACAGGGGACAAATTCCTGCATCTACACTAGATTGCCAAACGTACTGGGATGCCTGCCTTTACATGCACATGAACTTTAATGGCATCCCAGTCTTAGTCTGTACGGTTCATTATTGAGTTGGCCCACCCTTTACAGCTAAGACAGCTTCAACTCTTCTGGGAAGGTTGTCCACAAGGTTTAGGAGTGTGTCTATTGGAATGTTTGACCATTCTTCCAGAAGGGCATTTGTGAGGTCAGGCACTGATGTAGGACGAGAAGGTCTGGCTCGCAGTCTCCGCTCTAATTCATCCCAAAGGTGTTCTATCAGATTGAAGTCAGGACTCTGTGCAGGCCAGTTAAGTTCCTCCACCCCAAACTCGCTCATCCATGTCTTTCTGGACCTTGCTTTGTGTACTGGTGCGCAGTCATGTTGGAACAGGAAGGGACCATCCCCAAACTGTTCCCACAAAGTAGGGAGCATGGAATTGTCCAAAATGTCTTGGTATGCTGACGCCTTAAGAGTTCCTTTCACTGGAACCAAAAGGCCAAGCCCAACTGCTGAAAAACAACCCCACACACCATAATCCCCCCTCCACCAAACTTTAAAACTTGGTACAATGCAGTCAGGCAAGTACAGTTCTCCTGGCAACTGACAAACCCAGACATGTCCATCTGATTGCCACACAGAGAAGTGCGATTAGTTACTCCAGAGATCATGTTTCTGCTGCTCTAGAGTTTAGTGGCAGAGTGCTTTACACCACTGCATTTGATGCTTTGCATTGCACTTAGTGATGTAAGGCTTGGATGCAGTTGCTCGGCTACGGAAACCCATTCCATGAAGCGCTCTACACACTGTATCGTTTAAACTTTACAAAGAATATAACAGAATATGCAAAAAAGGAAATAAAGGCCGCAAAAATGGAAACAAACAACAGATTGCAAAAGATAGCAGGACAATCTAGAGTGGGTGACTGGGGACAAAGAGAAGGCAAATATATTAAATACCTTCTTCAGCTCTGTGTATACAAAGAAGCATGGGGGAGCTCATGTCCATAATGGGCATGATATTGACACAGCTCCAGATGATCCACATTGGCTCACAATTGATATGATCCAAAAATATTTAGACAGAATAAAGGTGAATAAATCACCTGGACCGGATGGCATACACCCTCGGGTCCTTAATGAATTGAGCTCTGTCATTTCAAAGCCATTGTTTCTCATTTTTAAGGACTCTTTAAAGACTGGCATAGTACCACTGGATTGGCGTAAGGCCAATGTGGTGCCAAAAAAAAAGGGTCAAAATCTTTACCAAGTAATTACAGACCTGTTAGTTTAACTTCTATAGTTGGAAAGACACTGGAGAGTTTAATAAAAGACCACATAGATGAGTTCTTGCTGGAAAAAAATATTTTAAGCAACAGACAGGATGGATTCATGATAGACAGAAGTTGTCAAACAAATCTGATTTCTTTTTATGAGGTGAGCAAAACCTTGGACAGAGGGGTGGCGGTGGACATGGTATACTTGGATTTTGCAAAAGCGTTTGACACAGTTCCCCACACATGGCTAACATGTAAGGTAAAGTCTACAGGCTTGGAAAAATCTGTATGTAAATGGATAGAAAACTGGCTAAAAGATCGTATTCAGAGAGTAGTGGTTAATGACTCATACTCTGAATGGTCTACGGTTGTCAGTAGTGTACCCCAAGGTTCAGTGTTTGGGACCCTTACTTTTTAATATATTTATAAACAATATAGGGCCTGGGATTAAAAATCCCATTTCAGTCTTTGCAGATGACACCAAGCTGTGCAGTGGAATAATGTCCTTACAAGGATGTCTTCAACTTACAAGCCGACCTCAATGCACTGTTTAATTGGGCAGCTATGTGGCAAATGAGGTTTAATGTTGATAAATGTAACGTTATGCACTTGGGGGCTAAGAATATGCATGTATCATACATACTAGGGGGGTACAACTGGGGGAATCAATGGTGGAGAAGGATCTGGGGGTTCTGGTAGATCACAAGTTTAATAATGGCATGCAATGCCAAGCTGTGGTTTCTAAAGCGAGCAAAATCCTCTCTTGTATTAAAAGAGGTATAGACTCCAGAGAAAGATATAATTTTACCCCTGTACAAATCATTAGTAATACCTCATCTGGAATATGCAATTCAGTTTTGGGCACCAATTCACAAAGAACATTGGGGAACTGGAGAAAGTACAGAGAAGAGCAACCAAACTGATGCAAAGTATGGAGATCAGCTATGAGGAAACATTAGAGGAACTGAATTTATTCTCTCTTGAAAAGAAGAGATTAAGGGGGGATATGATCAACATGTATAAATACATCAGTGGTTCATATAGTGAACTCTGTGTAGAGCTATTCACCCTGAGGTCATCACAGAGGACAAGGGGGGCACTCTTTACGTCTGGAGGAAAAGAAATGTACTTTCCAAACACGGAAAGGTTTCTTCACAGTGAGAGCGGTGAAAATGTGGAATACACTCCCTCAAGAGTTGGTTCTGGCCAGCTCAGTGGATTGCTTTAAAAAAGGCCTGGATTCTTTCTTAGATACACAGAATATAACTGGATACTAACATTTATAGGTAAAGTTGATCCAGGGAATATCCGATTGCCTCTCGGGAGATCAGGAAGGAATTTTTTGCCCTGAAAGAGCAAATTGGATCATGCTTTGCTGGGTTTTTTGCCTTCCTCTGGATCAACTGTGGGTATAGGATTATAACTTTTTTTTTTTTTTTAAATGGTTGACCTGGATGGACTTTTGTCTTTTTTTTTACAGCCCGACTAACTATGTAACTGTTGTTGTGCTAATCTGAAGGCCACACAAAGTCTTTAGCCATTGACTTTGCAGACAGTTAGTGACTTCTGCGCGCTTCAGCATGCGCGGTCCCTGCTCTGTCATTTTCCATGGCCTACCACTTCATGGCTGAGTTGTTGTTGTTCCTAGTTGATTCAACTTTGTTATAATACCACTAACAGTTGACCATGGAATATTTACTAGCAAGGAAATATCACGGATGGACTTCCCTATCACAGTACCATGCTTGAATTCACGGATCTCCTGAGCGTGACCCATTCTTTCACAAATGTTTGTAGAAGCAGGCTGCATGCCTAGGTGCTTGAATTTACACACCTGCGGCAATGGAGGTGGTTTGAACATCTGAATCCAATGATTTGGAGGGGTGTCCCAATACGTTTGGCAATATAGTGTATCTCCCTACATAGGAGTTTTTTTTTTTTCCAAGTTCAGTTTGCTAGTTGGAAAAAAAAAAAAAACCCACAGTGTGTACCCAGCTTTAAAGTGTATAGAGTGGACTGAGTAGTTAGAAGAATTTTGGACATTTTAGCATTGTATTTTGCTAAAGCAGTTCATACAAGTGAGTAGTCTCCCTTGTAAATTTCTATGGAGAACATTATGAAATTGGATCTGCTGACACTTTTCAGTGCAGTCATGCTATACCCATTGTAATTAAACATGCATATAAGTAATTTTATAAATATCTAAGGCCTTATGTACACAGGACGTTTTAAAAACAATCCTCTGTTTGCCAGCAGTGTTTTGGCAGAAAAAATGCCTGTAAAAAAGTGCAACGCTTTTACAAGCTTTTAGGCATGTTTACAGTAATAATTAATTCTGGCCATCGAAATGAATTAACGCTCAAGTGCTAAATGCGGCTAGCATTAGCACGAGTAAAAGCCCCTGTAGCTAAAAGGTTCTAAAAGTCTATGTGTGGATGAATACACAGGATAGTATGCAGGGGCGTTTAGAAGCTAAAGGAAAAAAAAAAAAAAAAAAAACACACACCACTTGATGCCCCTAAAAGTGGCTGCAAAAAAACAAAACGAAAAAAAAAAAAAAAAACCACGCCATGTGCACGAGTCCCTACAGTTAAAAATAAAAAAAAAAAAAAATATCTTGAGAGCCATTTCAATTGCTCCTGAAAAAGCCAAACAACTTCTTATGAATACCTTGCATCACACCGTCTCCTAGTTCAGATGGAGTAGTTGCTGCATGGACTGAGCCAGGGCTCTGGTCTTCATCAGTCATTGGCGATTTAATGGCAGTATCTGAATATGATGGGCATTCCAAATCCAGTGTTTCTGACTTTGGGCTCTGGTTAATTTGTATGATCTTCTCTTCCTGTTCCTTGAACTCACACAATGGACTACAAGCCGGTTCCATGGGTAGCTCTTCAATCATAAATAGAATCAAAGATGTGAAAAAAAAAATTAACTGAAACCATGGTAAAAAGTGCATACGCACATCACACTCAAAAAAACTATCTAGCATCAGAGTCAAATGTAAAATAACTAAATTTTTGACCACGCCATAATTATCCACTATATCTTCTGTTCTAAATTACCGCACTACTAACATTCTGTATAGCATAATGTCACAATCCCTATCATGTGAATGAACACAAATAAAACGTGTCTTCCGATTGATAAACACAGCCAAGAAGTCAAATAAAAAGTAAAACAATACAGTCTATAAATAAAAAGCAAAACAAATCAATAAGCTATACATTATACAATTTTCCTTTAGATTTACCAAAACTAGGGATGCACCAATACCGAGTATTTATATGAGTATTCGTACTTGTGAAAATAGTCCCAATATCTTAACCGATACTTTCCAGTGTGATTTGCGTTAATTTATGCAAATTGCACCAAGATTGGCATGCAACTTGAACAGGAATGCAATTCCTGTCCAAATCACGTTTTCCCTACTGCTCCTGTGTGAACCCAGGCTTATCATAGCCAGAGTTCACACAGGAGCATTGCGGAAACCTCACTGCAAGCATCCCATGCAGAGTCTCAGGGGTTAAGAGGAGAAAAAGTGTCGGGGATTTGAAATCCCCGCCACTTTATTTCTTTTGCTCGCAGGGATGACAGTTCGGGCTAGAGGGCTGTTGATTGGTCAGCACCATCACATGGACGGTGCTGAGCAATCAGATGACATCTAGCCTGTACTGTCATCGCTGCAAGAAGAGGAGATAAAGCCACAGCAATTTCAAATCTCCAGACCTGTGAAGTAGCTTTCTCTCCTCTCCTTGCAGCGATGACAGTTTGGACTAGACAGCATCTGATTGGTCAGCACCATACATGTAATGGTGCTGCTGACCAACCAAAACTTCTCTAGCCCAAACTGTTATCCCTGCAAAGAGAGAGGGAAAAAAAAAAAAAAAAAAAAAGAAGAAAAGCAGTGGGGATTTTAAATCCCCGCTGCTTTCTCTCCACCTTACCACTGAGAGTGCATGGGAAACCTGCAGGGAGGTTTCCTGCACCGCTCCTGTGTGAACTACCTTGGACAGGAATTGCATGCTATTCTTTGCGATGCGATTTGCATCAAGGCAAATCGCAACACAAATTATTGTTAATCGGTATAAGCGCGTACTTGACCAAAAGTATTGGTACTCGTACTCGCCAATAACAACACAGTATCGGTACATCCCTAATCAAAACCATATAATAAATGAGGTCAAACCTAAACACTTTCAAATTGTATGCAATCAGGAAGGCCCTTGCACTACATAGTTGAATGTAAATCTAAAGGAAATTGAACAAGAAAATTGTATGTATATATATATATATATATATATATATATATATATATGGCCAGCTTAATTATATGGTCGTATTTTACTTAAGTACCTTGACCAACTTCATTCTCAAAGGTTTCAGGAGAAACAGGATTGAGGTCTTGGGAATCGAAAAGCATCAATGGAAGTTGACAGGGGTCATTTAAACTGCTGACATTAGAAGGAGACAGTGAGGGCACACTCAGGCTAACAGGGTCTGGTTCCACTGCCAAGTCGGGGCCCGTGTGATCAGAGGATGATTCATCTTAAAAATAAAAAACAAGTGTTGAGTACTGGGAAGAGGAAAAATAGACAAGATAATGCACATTAGCTGCAGCCCATGACACAAACCTGGCTGTACGAAGTATGTGATCAGCTAGTGACTTAATGATTTACTAATTGTAAATCACCAACATGGAACAGGCTTGCAAAAAGCAAGTCGAAGTGAATTTACAACACAGTCTACATACTTGTTCTGATCAGTGACTCAAAGTTTGGAAGCCAATAGACAGCCAGGCAACCAACATTCTCAGGAGGTCAGTAATAGCAAACTATACACACAGCTGTGCTAAAGAAAAAAAAAAATCCTGGCAGAAATTGTGCGTTATCCACCTTTATGGCACTAATGTAACAACAAAGCCCACTTACAGGAGCTTGTCAAAAAAAAAAAAAAAAAAAAAAAAAAAAAAAAAAAAAAAAAAAAAAAAAAATGGATTTGCAGGTATGAAAGGGATGACATGTTTTGCGTTGAAAGCGATGAAACATTCTTTTACTTCCGCTGTGTGATGAGAAACCTAGCTAACAAGTGGGAAGCCTCACGTTCATCATTCACTGCATGCGCTGCTAGTAATGCAGAGTCGTGTCAGAGCTTACTGAGTTTCAAAGAGAGTAAAATTGTTGGTGCCAGCTTAGCTGGTGCCTGTGACTGAAGTTGACTATATGTGTGCCGTGTCGCGATGTACAGTATCAAAGGTTGTGATAGCATATACAGTTTCCGGGAAAACGTCTGATTAGCATAAGCGTAGTCGACATGGTCTGACCAAAAGAGACAAATAGGACATTGCACAGGATTGTGACCCAGAAAAAGAAAATAATTGCTGAAAAAGTGACTACAGAGCTCAATCAGTCCCGTAAAAATGGAGATTGAGCTCTGCAGTCATTTTTGCAGCAGTAGTCAGCTATTTTAATTTTTTTTTTACAATTATTGCTAATACTGTGATGATCACAGTAGAAGCAATAGTTTTAGCCGTCATGAATGGGTTAACATCCATGAACAGCTTGCTTATGGTTGTAGTCTGAGTGGCTACAGCTAATCACATGGTACAGGTAGCCCAGTACCATGTAATTGCTGTGGGCCAATCACAGATCACAACCGTAAACAAGCTGTCCATGAATGGAAATCCTTTCATAAATGTTTGTTTACACTGTTATGTAATTGTTATGACCAATCGCGATCACATGATACCCAGTAATTGTAATCCGCTGTGTTACAGGACCGGCGCTGCACTCCCTAAACTAAAAGCAGGCTGGACAACATACATGTGTGTGGTACAGCCTGCTAGTGCCACCCACCTGCAATAAATAAATATATATATATATATATAAAAATATATATATATATAAAAACAAATCAGATTCTATACACTATACAGCATGGATGGCTGAATCCCCCTGCTGGGCCATTATATTCCGACAACTGCTGGCGGCAACTGTCCGAATGACAGAACAGCGGCTGCATCTGACTGGCCAACAAGAATAGGCAGCTTTACCATGAGTAAATAAAAGGAAATCATTTAAATACTGCAAACAATCATGGATACTAAATGAGGCAATACACGACATTCAGAAAAAAAAAAACATGAAAACCTTTAAACAGGACCATTTATTATTGTATTTATTATTTTTGTATTGTCTTACTCTGTGATAAATAGTTTTAGGTAATTTATCACATTACCATAAGAAACGTGTTTGACCTGATCAATGATGTTTTCCATACTGGTGGATCTCCACTGAATATGTTACAGAGTCAGCTATGTGTGCAAACCCTAACAATGTATTTCTCTTGTTTGTTGCCTTTTGGTCTACTAAATATACCATTGAACATGTGAATTTTGTTCGATAAATGCAAAAAAATAACTTGATTTTAAAAAAATCTTGTAAGCTGACAACTTTCTGTGTATTCTGCATAAGGAGGGGTTATGGAGATGAGGAAAGGGCTATGTTCTTTGTAATCAATCACAAATGAAGTAGGCAACACACAATTTGGAATCCAGAGCCAAAAAAAAAAACCCAATGTGTTGGCTTGACATAGGAAGGTAGAAACACACTTTATTTCTGGAAAATCAAGTTATTTTTCTGTACTAGCACCTTAGTATAAATCTTTTCCTACCAGAGCCAATTTTTATGTTTTTGCACACATGTGAAATGCACATTTTAGGCCTGAAGATTAAATAAAGCGGTATTAAACTAAAAATGTATTACATTGCCGCTCACCAATCATTAGATGCGGTGGCTGCATTAGTTTTCATTGGATTTTCCCCCCTCTGTTTTTTCTGGTGATCTAGCCAGGAATACACCTCCTGTATTAATGAGAGGACTCTAGATGAATAAGCACAGAAGGCACAGCAGCATTGTCAATTTGAGGAGAGGGGAGTGTTAAATTAACAGATTTAGATACACTAACAAAACTGAAGCTAATCTCCAGCTCACACTTTATAATCAGCAGCATTGGTATAAAGGTTTTACAAGAATTAATATAAGATGATCATTGTAATCACCCCTGCCAGTGTTAAATTTTTTTTTTATCCATGTAAACCGATACATTCTGCTGGACAGCTTGTACTTTTGAAAAAAAAAAATAAGACAACTTACTGGCTGGATCATCAGCTGAAGAAAGAAATCCCCCAAAATGTATAAGCATAATAATGCTATAATGTTGTCATCACATCTAAACATTTGCAAGTTGCAATATAATAAAATGTTTGCTTTTGGGTTTAATACTGCTTTAAAAGTCCCAAAAAACATAATGCAGAAATTCATAAAGGTTGTCATAGACACCCTTTGGATTTCTGTCGAGCCCTGCACCAAAAGCGTCAGTGCTTGTACTCGATTTATGTCAGACAGGTACATGAAATGGTCAGAGCCTGGCACTAAGGTTGGAGTGTCCATAGTAGGTACTTCGTTCTCAGAGCAGACTCTCCCTGGTCACTATAGCCATAACACTGACAAGCATGTGGCTGTGGAGTTTTGTACTGCAGTGGGCAGAATCAAAGCTGCTATTCAGTCCAAATGCAGCTTTCAAATCTGCACAGTGTGTTCTGTTATTCGAAAGCAAGGTGTGCCTAATGGGGTACACCCAGTTTTAATTACTGCCAGTTTCCTAATCTGTGAACTGGCTGTAATTCTTTAAAAAGTCTGTTGCTGTCACCATAGCAGAAGGTTCTTAAAGCCCAAGTATTATTTGTCACTCTAAATTGGTCCGAACAAACTATTTGCTTGACTAACAGATACAGTGGCTGTCAATGCTGTATGAAGCATCGGTGTACAGCCCTGTGTTCCAGCAGTAAGGCAGGCACTTCCCATCCCACTGCCAGAAGAAAATCAAGTTGAGCTGTGTGCCGCTCAGCCATTCACAGGAAGCATTATACTTAATGAATGAATACAAGGCTTCCTCTGATTGGCTGGGATGGTGATCATGACATCATATGCCTGCCAGGATTCTGACAGCTGTGAAATTGGAAACACCCAGAGCTGAGCGCTTCCAGTCTTACATTGCACAAAGGAGATCAGGGAACAGATGTTCCCCAATCTCCATCCTTACATCACTTGTTGTCCCAAGCTCCTGGTAGGAGTGGGAGAGCCCAGGAACCACCTACAGAGCTATGTGTGCTATAAAAAAATTGTAACTACAAATATTTCATTCTACAGAGTCTTAGACTTACAATGTCTCACTTTCATAAAATATGTTTTGCACGTTTTAAACAATCTACAGGCCTAAAATGTGCATTTTAATCAGCGAAAAATTTAAAAAACTGTTCCTGCAGCAAAAGTGTCAAGCTAAGTCAACTTTACAAATTAGGGGTCTGATTTACACTTATACATACCTGACTGAACATCAGGAAGTCCTGACATATCTGCCAGTCGTTCTTTACTCTCCACTGTTTCAGTTGCTTCGGTTTCCATTTCTTGCTGTTCATCCTGGCACTGAGGAGGAGGAGGGAGGAGGAGGGGAAAGAGAAGGAGACTGCATACCAAATATTGGCAAAGGGGCTGGTTGGGAAGTTGTGGGATAGCAATGTGTTCCATTTGCTGCAGCTGCCACTTTTACATTAATATTACTAAAATTGCACAAGTCTTGACCATTGAAAATAAGAGATGCCTGGTGGCTGGAAGAAGAGCTCTCCCATGTCTCCTGTGAGTTTCCTTTATAGAAAGGACCATTTGATACTGGCGATGCTGATCCATTCACCTTAGGCACAGCAGGTCCATGACAGTCTTTCAGAACAGGAGACTTGGGAAATTTCCAGAGGTAGTCAAAGTTACTAGTTGTGGGATGATTGGTACTGCTAGCACCCAAAGCAAATGTGCCATGAGGATTACTGGATATGGAAGGTGAAATCAGGCCATTCACAGGCATATCACAATTCAAACCTAAAGTGAAAAGCATAAAAAAAATTAAACAATACAGAAAACATAACAAAATTGTGCAAAAGACAAGACAACTGTGGAAATGTTGCCTTCCAGGAGAATAGCAATAACACTAGAAGTGATGCAGCCATATAGAGAATTGTGTAGTAGGGTAACAATTAGAAAATCTCACCAGAAATAACAAAGGAAACAGTAAATACCTGAAGAGAGGTTCCGCTATGCTTCATGCTACCCAAAGCTTCACAAAAATGTTTGGCTGAATTACGTGTATCCAGTGTAGTTCAATATTGTATTGTTGGAACAACATTTCGCTGAGTGGGTTTTTAGACACTTAAAGCTTAGCAGTAGGTGCATACATGGATTGGAATTTTAAATTTTTTTTTATTATTTTAAACTTTAAAACTTGTGAATATATTTAGTATTGATTTTACATTTACGGAGATGAGTGCTGAAAATATGAAATGAGATGGAACCATAGGAACATCAAGTCACATTGCCATGCTGCACTCACAACCACCCCAACTGAAACCCAAAGCATTACTCTTACATTTTACATTATATACTTAGATAATTTATGTATAAATGCTTACCTTTAACTTGTTGAGGAAATATTACAAGGGAATTATTTGTGTAAACTGGTTCTACCAATTGAGGCAGCTGTTTCAGTCCTGAGGCGCTTGATAATGGAGGCTGGCCAGTACTGGCAAAATGATTGTTTGTCTCCATTTCTGCAAAAAAAAGAATAGTAAACAAACTACTACAATATGAAAAAAGGCTACAATGCTACAGCAGACCAACAGAGATCCCATGTTGGAGGAGGCATGTTTCAAAATGGCACATATTGTTAGCCTAGAAACTAAAAATGATTTACATAAATTGGGGGGGGAGGGGGGGGTTTGGAGGCCCATGGGGACTACTAGAAAGGCAACAATGCCATTAAAAAACAGCAAGAGAAGGGATATGCAGTATTTTAAATCAGTTACCAGCAGTCAAACTCTGTTGACTCTTTAGGCTGCAACAAGAGGAATTCCAATGCCAGTGCTCATTTGAAATTGAAAATGAGAAGTAATCTAAAAAAGTGATTATTGGATAGGTTATACATCCTCAAAAAGTGAATTCCAGCAGCATCTGGGTTAAATCAAGTTTAACACCTGTACTGAGACCAATATTGAGGCTTCCAATGCTTGTGAAACAGTTGACTGGCTCTCTGGCTTTTGGAGTCCTTAATCTGGAACAAGCATGCAAATGAACTCCGCTTTTATTACAGGGAAATGACTCAAAGTGGTAAAGCTTGGATCAGTATGATAGCTGTGCAAGTAGTATTCTGAAAAGCAGAAGTCTTCCTCTCCACTGCTTAGCACATCCCTACCATTAAAGAACAAGCCTTGTATTTTTACCAATCAATACAAGGCTTCTTCTGAATGGCTGAGGTGGGGGGGGGGGTGCAGATGATGTCACTATCTGCACCTGGGCCAGATGAAGCCTTGTATTCATTAATAAATAAAATACCAAGGTGTCTTCTAAATGGCAGAGATGCACTAAAACCAACTCAATCTATACCCAGTAGCAGACCAAACACAGAGCTGCTTACCATATGTAGCAAATGTTACTAAAGTCTATTACAGCTACTCCTCCAGTGGCCAGACTGTTCTGGCCTGGAAAAAATTTGTTTAGGCCACCTTGGCCCAAACTAACTTTTAATCTCCAAACATGGAAAGGTTTCTTCACAGTGAGAGCTGTGAAAATGTGGAATAGACTCCCTCAAGAGTTGGTTCTGGCCAGCTCAGTGGATTGCTTTAAAAAAGGCCTGGATTATTTCTTAGATACAAAGAATATAACTGAATACTAACATTTCTAAGTAAAGTTGATCCAGGGAATATCCGATTGCCTCTCGGGGGGGATCAGAAAGAAATTTTTTTCCATGAAGGAGCAAATTGGATCATGCTTTGCACCATTCACACATCATAGCATGGCTCGCGCATGCACAGTGGGAAACCGGCTGTGAAACCACAACAGTCACAGCCGGCATCCCAAAGAAAACATGTTGGAGCCAAGGACCGTGCTGGATCTCTGCACAGGTAAGTGTCCTATTATTAAAAAAGTCGGGAGCTACAGGATTTGTATCAAAAACAAAACACAGAAGAAGCTCTTGACTTCCTGAAATACAGATCCCATAAAAACTTGCATGTTGATGACATAAACAACCATTATCCTTTATATATACAGTGCTGCCATATCGTACAGAACACAGAATAGTATGAGATTATTATACAATGTAGTGTTCAGTCAATGTAACAACTAACAAAAACATGCTACTCATACCTTTATGCTTTTGGACTTTGGGAGGAAGTATTCAGATTATTCCTACGCATGACACATTTGTATGTAATTACAATTAAAACACAATCCCTAAAATGTATAAAGCGTTGTAAATACTCTTGATAGGAATCTGTTTTGCAGTAGTGAGACAAATGGTGGAAATTGTGACAGATTTATGTGTTGGCAAGGTGTATACGAGTGTCGCCACTCTGACAGAGCTGTCGCAAGCATCTCACTTGTGAAGTGGAGAAGCTATTTGGAGAAGTTGGCAGTTAATAGAATGGTAACAAAATTTCAGCTCCACAGGAACTAAAATTACAAACTAAATTACAAATATTGGCATAAAACCGTCTTAAAAGGTGAGACACAATGATTACACGTGACATAATTAACAATTTACTCCAATACATCCACCGATATGTGAGCTTGCTCCCGAGCTGCCTCTGTCTATGGGACACACAGAGTGTGGCTCAGTCTGGCCCCTCACTCCCTCCTCACTGGCTATGACTGACAGCAGCGGGAGCCAGTGAAGAGGGACAATGAAGAGGGAGAGACCAAGGAGAACCGAGGCTCCCATGCACAGCGCTAGATCGTGATGGGGCTCAGGAAAGTAGTGGGGGGCTGGGGGAGATGCACATTGAACAGGGTGGATAAAGTCGATTTAAAAAAAAAAAAAAAAAAAAAAAAAAAAAAAAAAGAATATATATATATAAATAATATATTTTTTTTTTTTAGCAAATTTATTTTAATAAAATGCTTTTGGAGTAAAAATCTATCTAAAGATAGTAAAGATAGTTTTCTATTTAAAATACATTAATAATTTAGTTTATTCAGCATAGCTTAGTTATGTAGCATGAGGCTGTATATTCTGCAATATTTACATTTTTGGTAAACTCACTCAATGAATCCAAGCTCTGCAAGCTGAGATAACATGCACTGCATTGATGCATTCACACAACTTCACAGTAAGCATGTAAAAAACCATGATATAGAATAATCTGAGTAGTTCAACTATGTGTGATTAACCTAAAATCGGTTCAACAGCGGGTCAGAGGAGGAGCCACAGCAGGACAGAGGTGACAGTTTAAGAATTATGATTTAAATCAAATCCACCCTGACACTTAAGAACCACTTTAAACCACTGAAGAACTGCACCGCATTCTTGTTCAAATCACGTGATTTCTGTGTGGTGCAATTTGAGCCATATATTTTGTATGGCTCAAATCGCACCGCATCAAAAAAGTGCAGGACCCTTTTTAAGTCTGCACCAGTATCGGATTGCATGGTTGTGAACACCCATGCGATCTAACTGATTTCACGGTGTCGTTACCTTAAAATACACACCCGCAGTGGTTTGTATGAATGGGGTGCGATTATAATGTGGTGTGGAAATCGCACAGAAACCAGTGTGAATTCCAAATTGCATCAGTGTGAACCCAGGCTAAATGTCAAAGCTTAAAATGTTAGTTCACTTTGTCAGTGCCCATGTAGCTGGTCCAGTGGTCCATGGATTTGAAATCCCAGCTTTTCTGTGTACAAATATGGGAAGGACCACAGCTATTCTAAGTGGTCAGTGTCTACACAGTGAATTACTCTGGTGCCTCCCACAAACACTACACAGAGAAAAGGGAGAAGAGTGGGGATTTCAAAACCCTGGACTGCTGGGGTGACTGCAGGTACTGACAGCTTATTGTACAGTGGGAACTTGAATGCAGGGAGGGCATGGTTGTCTGGTGTTAACTTCCTCTTCCGATCACCTAGGCGATTTCAGCAGAAGTGGGAGCGGGTACCTGTCAAATTTGGGTACCCACTCTCCCCCTGCTCCCAAAGTTGCCAATCCTTAACAGGGAACGGGGGACGAAGTCTTAAAGCAGAACTTCCCCTTTTGGGTGGAGCTCCACTTTACGTTAACCTTTGGGAAGGTGTTACCTGTTTAACCCATTTTTAGGGTGGAACATGTAACATGTACACAATGCTGTAGCTGCTGCCTGATTCCTCCCCCCTCCCACGTGAAAGAAGTACAGGGAGAAGTTCCCCGAACTAAATGTCACCTTTTTAAAAACCAGCATGGCCGTGCAGGGTTCTGCCTACACTGCCACATTAATTCATTCACAGGGTTCTGTGAATGAATAAACTACAAGTCCCGACAGCCATAGCGGCTGTCGGCTTGTAGTTCTCAATGAACTACCATGATGCTGTGGAGCGCTGTAGTAGTTCATTCAATCTTCCTGTCAGTATATCTGCTTGTCCTTACATCCTGTACAGGCATATATACTGACAGGTCTGCAGGAGACCTGCATGGCACCAGCTGGTGCAATGCTTTACAGGATCCTGCAACCAAAAATAATAAATGCACATTTTTTTTACCTGCAAAAAAAAAAAAAGTGCATTATTTTTGGTCAAAAGATTTAAACCCAAGACTGAAAAGGTATAGCAATCAGATGTGGTGGCTTTGGCTTTTTCTCCCCTCTATGTTGTTCCCTGGTGCTCTGAACAGTAACACACCTCCTATAGTAGAGTGTCCCCCCTCTGGATGAAGGAGCAGAGGCACCTTTGGACAGCATCATTGTCAGTCTGGGGAAGGGGAGTGTTCGATGGACATGACTAACAAATTGAAGCCAAACTCCAGGTAACAAAGCAAAAGTATTATTTTCTTTTGGGATAAAGGTTTTACATAAATAATCACTGTAAGCACCCTGTCTGCGGTGAATGATGTATCTCATCCCTCCAAGTGCTACATCTGCAGGACAGCTTCTTCTTTTGAAAAACCACAGACTTAGGTAAGCCATACATTATGCAAATTTCTTTCTATTGCCTGATTCCCCCATCAACACAGTCAATGTTGATGAGGGAATCCCTCCCAAAGCACTATTGTGTTCTGCTGGGGAGGAGCTTTGCCCACCTTCAAAACACAAATGATCACTGCTGGAGACTATAGCCACTGGCAGTGATTGCACAAAAAAAAAACACACACAACAACAAGCTGGTTGTCCTGAGGTTGATCAATCATTCAGGACAATCAGCTTACCCAAAGATTGATCAGAATTCAACTGGTTCTTGCTGAACTGGCTGAATTGAAAAAAAAAAAAACTGAATAGATTCCCCCATTCCTTGCAATTAAGGTGGATTGAGGAATGCCACCCTCTGCGGTATTGTGTTCAGACTGAATGAGGAAAGAAAAAAACAGAGGGCGCACATGCTGAGTAACAGTCCGTAATAGGGAGTATAGACATCCAAAAGGCTGACGCGTTTCGAGGACTTGCCTCTTCCTCAGAGTGGCTCTGAGGAAGAGGCAAGTTACTCAGCGCGGTGTTGACCCAGCTGTTCTTTATGATGTGCCTTGACTATATTGTCGTCGTTTGTGAGTACAACACATACTTTATTTTTTATTAAACATTTTTTATGGT